TAATAGTTATGTTAAATTACTGTACCAGAGGGTACTTTGAACCAGGACAGCCATGGAGGTTTGACTCCAAAATGATCATCTGGTTATGGGGAACAGCTGGTAATGTTGGTAGTTGTTTGGTACAGCTTAATTCGAATCTGCGATTGAATCTGCTAGCCAGCAATATTTTTTGGTTCTCTAAGGTTGGCCATGAAGAACAGGGGTATTTGACATCAAATTTGGGGGACTTAAGTGACTTAAGCCATCAATTTTCTGGTGGATTTAGGAGATGCTGTTTGGGTGAAGGACCCATTTCTCACGTCTCCATTCTGGGTCAATGAGAGAGAGTCAGCCCCCAGGCCGGCCCTCACTGGGCATGGTCATGCAGGATGGCCCCCCAGTTATAAGTTGGTTTATAAACCATTATAAGCCCCATGAACTAGTTCGTTATATCATAGTTATATCATGGCTATATCTACCATAAACCACAATGCGGCATCTGAACGCTATCAAACGGGGGCCCATCCTGTGGGGAACCGACAGATCTATGATGGCTATGCCTGAGCTTTGTAAGCGTGGGATATACTGCATAGCCAAACAGTATAAATATCCAAACATAAAATGACATAATGGATTTGGTTCGTTTTTGTGCAACTTTTTTTTTGCATATTTGGTGCGCTCTCTGATGCGTCAACCAAACCCGGCAGTGGAAGATCCGTTGAAAAACGCCATTTGCAATCGCGATGTATTATCCATTTGTAGATGGCTGTTCCATGCTGTTCCTATTTCCCAGCCATATTTGACTAGGTCCCAGCTGCGCACCTAGGGACCTAGTGCTAAGGTCCATCCTCTTTGTGCCAAGGTTGAGCGTTTGGTCGAGAGATTCTGAGGATGAGGAGCAGTTTGTTCCTGCCCAATGGACGCTCGTCCAGTGCAGCTATTAGCTATAAGTTGCCAGGGTACTTGGTAAATCAACCCAGTTACAAGTAGGGTAAGTAGGTGCGATGTCCGTTCAGAACTTGTGTGAACCAATCTGCTTACTAGCTGGGGTGAACCAATTAATTACCATGTTGAGGCATGGTCATTCACCATTTTTTGACCATGGTCGGCGTGTGCTTGGCACTGTGATCAAGATTGAGTCATTTCATTTTCTGTCACTGAGGGATTCAAGCAGCTTTTGCTAAAAAAAAATGGGATGTCGCAAACCATGCAGGAGCCTTGTATTGCTTGAAATATCTTGAAATTCTTCAGGTGTTGACTCCATGGTTTCCACCACAACTCTCGAAAAGTCAATCTTCAATTGCAAAACCTGAGAAAAAAGATAGTCTGCCTTTAACATTATTGTACCATTATATTTTAAAGATGGGTTATTTTACTTTTCTGCATCTTCTTGGGGGGTACCAACCACATCAGAGTCCCAATTCTTGTTCCGTTGGTTCAACATGGGCGGTCACTTCATACAAAGTGGTGCCCCCTAGTTTGAAGTTTGTTTAAACATCTCGTAACCATCCATTCCCTAGAGCTATTTTTGATTAATTTTGATTATACCTACCACGCACACAATATATACACAATATATACACAATATATACATATTCCAAAGGTGATCTGACTTCACCAACTGAGCTTCGCTTGGGCCGCGATTTGACCAAGGATCGGCACCTCGGCATACAGCGATGCTTCGGGCCCGTCGGGGTCCGCCAGCGAGGAGGTGCTTCGCCTTGCGGCATGGGGGGTGCCATTGTCAACCAAAACGGCAACAAATGGCGGTTCCCCGGTTCCCCCATTTTCTTGAATTAGTTTTGGCCAGTTTGGAGTACCTTAGTGCCCGGCACCACCACTAGTGCATTGTTTTTATAATTTTTTATGACATTGAATTGAGAAAACCGGGTACGCATAATGTGTGTGTATATATGTATATATGACCACACACTCTCTCTCTCTCTCTCACACACATATATATATATATATATATACACGTTAATATATATATATACACGTTAATATATATATATATATACACATAATGTTGGATAAACCTGACCATTGCTGTTGCGACGAGCCTTTTGGTTATTGGAAGCCAAAAAACTCAGCCGAATCACCAGGGAGTGGTACCAAACCAGCCCCAGGATGCCAGGTGGAACCCAGGTGTGAACCGATGCGGAGCACAACATCATAATAAAACCTTCCTGAACCGGTAGCTTCTGAATTGATCCGGCATAGGGCACTGATGGGCACTGCAAAATCCAGCGCTTGAGCTGGGTTTTTCACCTCATTTTCCCCATAAACTGCATACATTGCGGAGAATTTCAGGTCGACCCCCATTTCCCAAGCCATGTCGAGACCACCTTCCCGCCAGGAACAGCCATGAGATGAGGGAGCCAAAGGGAGCCGTTTTTTTTTCGTAGAAGTTACATCAGCAAGGGGAAGACGTGATAGCATGAATATATAATACAGTAATATATATATAGATGAATTATTATGAATTGTAGATGGAGCTGAGGCTATTTTGTGTTCCGTAATGTTGAGCTGTGTTGAGCTAGTTTTGTAGTGTATCGACGGGCGGCCATCAGGGAAATCCAGCTCGAATCACATCGAATCACTATCAGCTACTTCAGCACGCTGGAAGCGATGTACATAAGATGGGCAGCTGGCTAAACAAGGCTGGCCTTGGGCTGGTCAGGTCGCAAAACGTCTGGATCTATGGAATTAGGAAAATCTGAAGAAATCCTTAGGGAATAGCAAAAAATGAAGAGACACAGAAGGTTCAAGTCTCAGCTTTGGGGTGTATAGAAATTATAGAACAAGCATCCAGTCCACCTTTCAGGAAAAATGTAGATGGCTATGTTCGATTTGGTGAAGGAAAATTTACAACCGTTCTTTAAATCGATCAATCATGTCCTGAATCATCGTCAGCCAACCTTTTGGGACTTTTGCCAAATTTCACTACCAGAGGGTCAACCCTCGAGACCTGCACGGCCGCGCCCTCGCCGACGCCTGGTTCAAAACTTGGAAGCGGGCGAAGGCTTAAAAAGGATGGGCGTCCTGGGTGAAATCCTTACCACCAAAAGGATGGTGTTGAAAGAGTTGAAAGCCTAAAAATCATGGATCAACATGGATCAACATGGATCACCTGGTATCACCTAACTGGTGCAGGATTTCTTCATATTCCACTGCTTGGGTGATCCCCACTGGGACCAAAAAAAATCGAGCACGACCTCAGGCCTGGGGATGGTGCCGCCGGGTCCTCGGTTGTGTAGACAGCACCAGACAGGTTAGTACCAAGAAGTATCAAGACATCTAGACATTATGATTACCACACATGAAACAGAGAGAGCACCAAAGTATCACATATTGCGGTTTAAGTCTAGTTTATGTATGTTTACGTGACATAATGCTGCATATGTGGATGCATACATATGACGGCGTGGGTGTGTGTGCGCATGATGTTTACAGCACATAGAAGTGATAGAATGATTTTAAGGACATTTGGATATACATGTCGGCACATCAAGAGTATGTTGGAGTTATGACACACTTCACACGATTCTTGTGCACATTTGCAGCTACGTAGCTTAGTATCTCTACTCTTTGGTCATCTAGTCTGGGCAGGGTGGACAACTCCAGGTGTTGGGAGTGTCCATTTCGGATGGTGAATATGTATGAATATGTCACAGAAGCGAAAACCATCGAAAACTCATGAAAAGATAGGCCCAATCCACAACAAAAACAAGCTTAGTCTTTGACAATACGTGCCAGATTTTGAAGGAGCCATGTGTCCTACTCATCAGCTTTCTATGCTGCAAAAGCAGGCTTTTTCCCATCTTCGATCGCGCCTGCCGCTCCCTTTGTCTTCGCATGAGCCACTGAAACATCAATCCATGTGCTGAACGAATCTCCAACTTTGGTTGGTACATATCCAATTGTAATCTCATCTCCGATGTTCATAGGCTAACATTGAGGCTAAATCAGCCGTTCTGTTGGTTCAACCATGTTCAACCAGACAATAACCCATATTTTTTGTTGGCTTGGTGAAGTAGCCACCCCTCCCAACACTTTTCGTGGTGAAATCAGTGAAAGGTGTCCCTTTTTGCCGGGCGAAGAAGTGCTGACCTTTGGGACGGTGAAGGTTGGCCGGCGAAAAGTTGGATTTTTCCAGGGTAGCTCAGATTCGCCATGTAGGAACTACATTTGGGTGCTTTGAAAAGGCAACAAGTCTAGCTGCTATAGCCATATATATATATATACCATTATATACCATTATATACCATGCATGGACATACATGGATGATCTAAGTGCTGTTTTCATATATATATATATATATGTGTGTGTGTGTTGAACGACTCTTGGGAAAGAGTTTTTGGTGTCCGGGAAGCGGCTGCATGTTCCATCCTTTTCCCAGATGGGATGGTCAGGGGTGGATAGCCCAGTTGCCATTGCAGTGGTCAATCTCATCCCCCTGATGGACAAGGTTGAGAACAACCACCCCTATCCCTACAACACTGAATCATATTATATTAGGTCACTATTGTTTTGTATGGCGTAAGTCTTTTCATTCCATCTATTATATTCATGTCCAATCTGAATTTTGCTAAATTCATGTGGGCCTTGATCAAAAGCGAAAAAGTATAGTCATTGGATGATATACTCATATTGGACTTCATTTTCGGATCTGAAACCATTCAGTCGTATGGGCCCTTGAAGTGGATAGTTCAGATTCAGACCCGCAAAAATGACCAGCAGTTTGAGGGCCCAGACAAGTGCTGCAATGGATCCCAATGGTACGAATTTCATGACCCATATTGCAAGCGGCTGAAATATTCATATGGAAACTGGTTCAGTACGTGTTTTGTTAATGGCTACAAAATGCCATAAATAAATCTAAATTTTAAACGTAGCTATATCATTCCAGTTATGTACAGGCATGTATAGCTATCTCTACAGCTGCCTCCTGTTCTGACTTCTGACCTGCGGATATCATGCTATTCTGGCGAAAAGGGCTACATAAATCGCTGGCTAGGCTGGCAGAGGGCCCACAGCTGGGAGTTGCAAGGCAGGCTGAGGACGTAGCTGGAAAATATGGGAAAGATCTGCCAAAAATGAGAGTTTTCATAGGAAAATCTTCGGGATGGCGATGGAGAGAGAGAGATAGGGAAATCTTCTACAAACGAAGGTTTAGAGATAGGAAATCATCTAATCTGCCACTTTCCCCAGCCTGCTTCTTCTCATGAAGCATTCGCATCCAAAGTGTTGAATGCAGCATGAGGTTTATACCATCTGGGACATACACATATATATCTGTGTGTGTGTTGTTATGTGCATATGTAATTACACACACACATATATATATATATATATAATATGATGCAACCAAATGGGACAACATTCGAAGAATGTGGACAGAATATGGAACATTGATACTACATATATTCTACACCCCTTCCATCTTCAACCTTCTTCGCCGTGTATGCCACAGGGCGTGGACGGCCTGTGCTCGCTCTGCGAAGACCCTGACCTCTGCCTGGCCTATGCGCTGTGCCCTATTTGTCGCCAGGTGCCACGGGGCTGGGTGGAAATTGCCATTAAGACTTGGGGTTTAGTGGGGTTTAAGGGGATATAATTGAAGTGGAGTTTCCTAGTTTGGGGTTTCATCTCGAACATTGGACATCAGTCGCAATTACACTCGAACAGCAGTGGAGATTATAGCCATAGCTTCCAACCAACTTAATATGATAGTTGGGTGCATTGGAAAATAGGGTATGCCCGCAAAAAAAACAACATTGTCATGCGAAAGTGATGATGAGCCAGTGGATATAGGGGTGCATGATTTTCAGACAAGCCAAATTTAATTACGAAGCGCGACGATAAACAATAGGATTTTGATGGATTTTGGAATATTTTGGATATGCCCTTTTTTCAGACAAACCCATGATGGGGTGAGAGTTTTTTTGGGTCATATAGTTGGTGGAAAGTTGGTTGTAAACCATCAGAACCAAGTATGGACTACAAAAACCTGGCGACCAGCCAGGATTAGCAAATATGTGGGCCTCGACAGTGATGGACAATATGAATCTTTTTCTGGAAGGGGGCCTCAAGATATTCAACTTCGTTTAGAGCTATATATATATATATCTTATCAATAGGGATTCATTCATGGATACCCATGGATATCTACAGTTAGATGGGGGTCACCAAACAGAACTGACTGAGAGGGCCCATCCTGGAGAGATGAATGATCATGATAGATCCACAGTTTTGGGAATGACTGGAGCTGATTGAGTTAGCAAGGGGTCGTTAACTAAGCCCTCTAAAGTGCGGCTTAAAAAAGCTTAAAACATGTCTTTCCCTCTTCCGCAAGCATTAGGATATACTAACATATACCCAACCTGGTTATGACCAACAGTTTGCCATGGTTTTTCGATGGCCCTAATCGAAATAGATGCTTCATGGCCCGCTCAAAAATGATCGACTCACCGGGAAATCCAACGATTTTCCGCTGGCCGCGTCAGGCTGTTGCGTATTACGTTAATGTCAGGTAGTCCTCTCAGTTAGATCCGGGAAATTTCCTGTCCACCATGATTTTTGTAGACAAACATCGTTGTTTTACATGTTGTAACCCACTGGAATTAAGCGGATAAAAGGAAGAGAACCAAAAATTGCATTACGTTCTGCATAAGAGATCCCCAAATTACATCCAATTATGGCTTTAAACATTTTTAACCAGTGACCAGTGGTGATCGCGATGCTCCGAAGGTCTTGAGCGCTTATGCGCTCTGCCCCTGCTTTCCCTGCTTCAACTTCTATGCACGTTACCGTGTGGCCGGCATGGCTATCGGCAGGGGTGGCATGGATTCAGGACCCTTTTGTCATCAAACATGGCTCGGCATGGAGGTTTCGATATGTTTCAATAGACAAATATAATCCATTAATACGGGAGTTTCCAGCTTAAGCCATGGAGCTGATTTCCAGAGGGTAGCCCAATATTTTGGTTTAGAGGTTTCACTATGTTTCAAGTATATATGCAGTATATATATATATCTATCTCTCTCTCTCTCTCTCTCTGCGTGTATATGTTTTGCAACATTTCATCCGAATAATGTCAACCCTAGGCCCTAAGGTTGTTTAATTGGGAGGGTACCAGGTACCATTGAAGTATCAGAGAATGGGAAAAGTATACCCTATAGGTATCCTACCATAAGTATCAGAATAGGATACCATTGGTATACCCTACCTGTTGGAGGAGTAACCCCCCATCCATTAACCGATGGGCCGATGGGCTTTCGGATGCCGATCGGCAGCCGGGCCACCAGACATCCCACAGGCCTCTCCAAGACAGGCCGAGCCAAGATTCCCTTGGACCGGGACTGCCAGGGGCACCTGGAGGGTTATTTTTCTGCCACAAAATAAGCGGCCCAGAGACCTATATGGAATATGCATGATGTAAAACATATATATCATTATATATCACACATGTAAACATATGCGTACACAATCTTACTTGTATCATCTTCACAAATAATGTGTATATATATATGTGTGTGTGTGAGATAAGATATTATGTGATCATCTTTGTATGGGTCAACAGCTGGGTAATCTGGTGAGCACCAAATGGCTGGATGAGATGAGGTGCACAGCAGGAAGCTCGCGGATGTGGTGCAGCTTCCATCCTCTCCGGCTCTGCCGGGGAGCTCAAAAATAGATGGTATACCCTCTGGTAAACTAACATAACTATGGAAAGATCCACCATTTTTAATGGGAAAACTCACTATAAATTGCCATTTTCAATAGCTATGTTAAATTACCAGAGGGTAAATCTGAATAATCTATAATAATCTATCATATCTATGGAACCATGGCCCGTGAAAGCACATTATTGACTGGAAAAAAGGTGATTTTCCATTGCCGTGTCAGTTTAAAGTTTAGCGGATGGTAAGGTAAAGGTCTTTAACTGATTGAATCTCCTTAAGATGCCCTTCGTCTCGTACTATGGGGCTCATCAGTTCAGTAGATTTACTGCGCTTGGTGCAGTGGGGAGTTAGACAGAGGGAGCACCGGCAGCAGATTGCAATCGGCCAAGCTCACCTTTGCCCAATTTTACGAACGAGATATTCCAACCCCAGCTTGCTCGCCCATAAAACGTTTCGATTCATACCCAAACCTCACGCATTCAGAAAGTGCTAGTTTTCGGTAAGACCTATGCCTCACTGAACCACTACCAACCCCAGGGAAATCATCTTAAATCAATTTCTTGGTTATATAAATATATTTTTTCTTGTGGTTAAATCCTAGCCTTTTTTGATGGCAAAATCGACCCAAATCTGCCGGGGCATGCTGCAGCGCCTGAGCACAATAGATAGTGTTGGTCATGTCATGTCCCATGTTTCCTTTATGTTTATTTCCCATATGCACTCCCCATCAAATGGATCAAATGGTTGGTGATGGTTGGTGTCTATTTTAAAAATGGTCATGGACAAAAACAAGTTTTAAACATGGTCATGGACAAAAAACACGCATAGAATCGTATAGCTACTATAGTTTCGTATTTCCATCTAATTCCATACATCATTCTTGGTTTTTCGCATGGTTAACGGTTCAACCTATAGGGTTATCCCTTAGCGGCAGCCGAGGCAACAAGTTGGCGCGTTTTTCGGCGACCTGCCGTGATGGCTGCTGGGTTGGCTCAAAACTGTATGTAGATGTTACATTATATATATAGTATGATATACCCTCTGGTTATTTAACATAGCTATTGAAAATCACAATTTTTCATGGGTAAATCAACTATAAATGGACCATTTTCCATAGCTATGTTAAATAACCAGAGGGTATCATAAACATCAAATCTGGGCAAAACTGCTCCAAGTGCTCTCCTCTCGAGGCGCGTGCTATATATTACATGGTATATACTGGGGTTTCCATCAATGGGACTCAATGGGGGAATCCCCAACATAGATGATTTAGAATGGACAATCCGAAAGTAAAATGAATGAATTAGGGGGTTTACCACCATTTTAGGAAACCTCTATATATAATTATGACACTTTGAATATATAATATAGATATAGATGTAGATATAGATAGACAGATGATAGAGAGAGAGAGAGAGATAGATATATAGATATATAGATAGATTCGCAAACAAGTAATACCCTTACTGTGAAATCACTGGAATAACGATTGCGGGGTTTATCATCCCCCAACGGCCGGTCTGGTCTTAGTTTCAGCTATTTTAAGGTTAGTGCATTGACACCGCCAGTAATGACAAATAATTAGTGAAAAATAATTACGAAAAATAATTATGACTATTATGACATGTTTTTTGACATGTTTTTTTTCTGGATACGTTGGTGGCTGCTGTAGCTGTCCAACTCATCCAAGATGATTTGGATGTTTTTGCATTTAAATTTGTGCATTCCGCCCATCAGTAACTTACTCATCGTTTATAGAACCCCCTAAAAATTGTTTAAACATATATTTTACCACTAATATCTAGCATTACTGGTATAGGCTTTCATTGCCTTGGGGTTCTACAAGCAGTTTGCAAAGACGTTGTGCTGGGGAAGCCCACCCAGAGACCATCGATGACGATCGCACCAGCTGGCCAAGCCACTGGTGTTTAAAGAGTCGCGGAGGCATCAGTTTTTTGTTGGGGAAAAAGGAGAGCGGCAGCCAGAAATTTGTCGAATTTCGTTTTTTTTTTTCCGGATTTCAAGTTTGAGATTTCATGGGAAATCGGATTTCGACCAAGAGGGTTTACCTAGCATACCTAGCCAAGTTGGTCTATAAGTAGTACAACTGTTGGGGTGATGGATGGTGATGGTTGATATATCGAACTAGTTCATGGGGTGAATCAAGACCAACTTACAACTATCAGGTTTGGTAATTTGTGTCAATGGAGGGTCTGTATTACATACATGTGTGTGTACTTTGAGTATGTACACATACGCACAAACACACACACAAATATATATATAAACCACCCAATGCATAATTCGGATGTTGATGATGCCGATTCACTCTTGAACCTATTTCTATGACAATGGTTCGACTGGGTTGAGACATCCAACCAGCTCCTTTTTCTCAATGAGGAAACTCCAGTCACGAATGATCCCCAAAAATGGGGCTTATGAAATTTGATAGTTAGGCCGTTAGGTCCCTTAAAGGTCCCTTGAAGGTCCCTTGAAGGTCCCTTAAAGGTCCCTTAAAGGTTCTTGTTTTCGGTGGGATATGGTAGAAACGACACCCTTAAATGGATCCAAATGGTTGATCCAGCCCTTGGGTTCCACGCTGGGTTTAGGGGAAACGGAGGCAATTGGTAAAAGGATGTGGGGGATGCTGGGGAGTATGGTTAAATGTTGCCTGCCATGGTGTTGTTCAATGTTTGTTCTTCTCCGCTGATCGGTTTTTGTGATGGGCTTCTGAGTACATGGAAAATCCCGAGCTTTCACGCCGGGTTTGCCTCCCTGCTATCCAGTGCTGTTCATGTACATAACATAAAGCCTTTTCTTCAACCATTTCATCGTGTACTTCCTCAGCTTTTCTGTCGGACACTCAGAGAGTGTGGGTGATGTTCCAGTTTTGAAGACAGCATGTGCAAGCAACTTGTTGTCGCCCAAGCATATATATATATATTATATAATATGTGTCTGATTATGTATGTATGATTATGCATGTTTGTACTTACATAGACGCATAGCAGGGCGTTCTTGCAAGTTGATTCAATGCGGCTTGGCCCCAGAGCCTTTCGGCCCAAGAGAGGACCATCTCACGGATGACGGAAAGGTTGCGCCGCTTGTGTACAGTATGAGTGGCAAAAATGGGAAAACCCATGAGGCAATCTCAATCTCCGAGTGTCTCCGAAGTGGTTCATTCACATTATCTAGAAGTGATTCATTTTTGACCATTACGGAAACGGAACTCTCCGAGCTATCGCCGCGAAGCGACTTCTTCTCGCCTCGATTTCACAGAAGCACCACACAATCGGATTCGGCATCGATTTCATCATCATTCTCGCCTGCTGCTCTTGATAAATTGTGCGAAGTGGTAGATGGAGCCAAGGTCAAATTCCTTGGCACCCCAGTTTTTAGTCAAGGAGACAGAGTGATAGTGAGCTTCCCGGGCGCACACGGCAGAGCTTGGAACAGATTGATGGAGGGGGCAGGCGGCTGGAAAACCAGTTGTGTGTTTCTGCCCGACAAGAAAACACCAGGCTATGGCGTTCACGCCACAAGATATTTCGCACACAGAATTGAAAAAAGCTGTTTCTGTGACATGCTGTATGGCGAAACCGTGGAGTGGGGTTGCCGCTGGTTCCAAATGTTGCTTGCAAGCACAATGTATTTTGATTCCCTTCATTCACTCATTGTAGCGCCGCAGTTCTTACTTATAAAGATAGATGAACAAATGCCCCCCTAAAGGCAGAGTTGGATACATTACTATTTATATTATTTGTGTTCATGTTCAACCGGAACATGTTGCGCTTGTGAGGTGGATGGAGAACACACGTCGAGCAGAAGAGATGAGTTGTGAGCTTGTCGTTGTCACAAAACCAGACGGCAGTCTTGGGCGCTCACAAAGTGGAGAGGTTGAGTTTCTCCGCAAGTCCGGCTACATCTTCGAAGAGAGGAGTGTCCGGGAATTCGCCGAGGATGTGCTGACCTTTTTTTTGGCCGATCTGCGTGCGGACGGCAAATCTTTGAGGATTCGTTCGCCGTCCAGGTCCAGGTCTCGTTTGCCATCCCTAGGTGTGGACAGGGACAGCAGCGATGACGAGTTTGCGATTGAACTCAGCAGTTCCAACAAAAGATGGCCGACAGACCCCCAAGGCCTTTTGCTTCGTGAGCAGTGAGAGCTCTTTCTTCAAGCTTCCAAAAGGAAGCAAATATTTTCCCTCAATGCTGACAATTTAGTTAGATGTAGCTAGTCCCTGCACAGTGCTCATGACTGAAAAAGGATGATGGGATAACGCAGGCGCTGGCAACGTGACATTGCATTAGGTCCAAACATTTGAGAAGGATGCTCTCCTGTTCCCTAAGCCGGACGATGAGCATTTGTTCCCAAACCTTTGGGAACGGATTTCCCTACATTCAAGGAACACGATTATTTGGGTTTGTTTGATCATGTGGTACCCTTGATATCATTGGCTAATATTGGGTTATTGACTGTCATTAATTTTATTATTATTATTATTATTTTTTCCCATGGTCATTTGGGATCGTTTGGAAGGTGCAGTACATCTCATTTTCATTCAAACCCAAATCATAGTTGCCGATATCTCCCTTTAATCCCATGAATACCCCAGGAAATCCGATGAATTGTTTTCGAGCCGAGGCTGAGAAGACATCAGCGAGATCACCAAGAAGGTCAATCCCAGCAATCGGTCAAAGACTTATTTTAAAGAACACCTATATTTAAAAAGGACACGGGGCGTGGGACAGGTTACCCAATTCAAAACATTCACACATTCTTCCAAGACTGATTCTTCTTAATGCAATGTGAATGGACTTAAATGGGGTTAAATGGGGTAGTTCTCATGATTTCTTGGTAGAAATTCATATGCAGCATTATCCAACTATATACTGTCAGAAATGCCAACGACAATCCGAACCAATTTTCTTGACAATTCCCATAACCAGAATTCGGGCATAAATAGCCATCTATGTGAAAAATGTTTTTTTCACCATATACAATACATATATATATGACTTTGTATAATATAGCCTATCCAACCGCCATTTTCAGTATGTCAACTTTCCTTGTGAAGGATGACAAGCACGCCCACATTGTTACCAAAAACGAAAATAGCCAAACGCCTATTTTGCCTTACCCCTTTGACATGCAGTTTATGGACAAAGTTTATTTGGCAGGTGGCAGGAACAGTATGACAGTGGGATATGTCCGATCATTGCCCGGCCTACTTTCATTGCGTCCTTTATTTTTGTTGAACTCGCTTTGCCAAACCTCTCGTTTTTCCCAGTCACCTTTTTTGGGGTGTCCCAACCTGGTCATCCCAAGAATATCCAGATTTGATGCCCTGCTATTTGGTAATGCCTTTGGTGATGGCAAAAAACAAGAAATTGAGGGCAGCAGCTGGTTCTTCGGCGCTTCAACCGTTAAGGAAGAGATGTCACTGTGATCTCCACGAGTGTTCTGGAGAATCCGAGTGAAAAAACATCAAAAACGCATTTGATATGTATCTTGAGCTTTTTATGAGTAATCCAAAATATTCTTTGTAACCACTAATTTTTATTGAGAATAGTTTTGAATTAAGTTCAACTCCAGTCCGAAACATTCCGACAGCCAACCCACAAACAACTATTTACAGTAAAGACTTTGCAAATGTTGAATGACTCAACGGACTTTATTGAAAATAAGTTCAACTCACAATTCGATGAACCCCATTATCCTCAACAAACAAATGACATTGAACAACTACCCAAAGAAAGACAATGTATGAATATTTGTGATGTAACGCTCACAGCAGATGGTTTTGGATTATTTACCTGCTATCATCCAAGAAGGGTGAAATAGAACAACAGAACGGAAGGGAACCCAAGAAAGGCCAACTTGATCGAACTTGGGGATAGGATCTGTAGCTTTGAGAGGGGGAAGCGCATCTGAAACAGGTTGAAAACCAAATGCGAGTTGAAGGAAATCATTAGGTCAATTATGCAAATTTATTCAATATGTTTGTCAACATAGCAGTCCAACTACCTTGAAGTTACTACATCTAACCAATCTAAGCCTGTCGTGCAACAAATTTTACAACATTCTGACGAAAAGCTCCACTACATTGCCACTACATGGGTCCAAAATGGTCCAAACTTCATCAAACTTCGTCCGTTGCTGCCTAACTCCTTTGGAACGTGATCTGCAGCCCGTTTTTTGATCGTTTCGCTGCCGCGTGGGCCACAGAGGCTCGAAGTAAGCACAGATGGTCATTTTGGGGAACCACTTCACCAAAATAGTGATATTAATAGTGGTTAATAGTGGTTAATCTGGTATAAACCAACAACAATGGGAATATGATGATGATCTGATTGGTGCTTTGGAACATGAATTTTATTTTTCCATATATTGGGAATAGTCATCCATATATTGGGAAACCACCAGCCAGGATAATAAAGTCATCAAATTGATACCCAAATTTGACTTGGTCCAACTCTCGTATCTTCACGTACCAAACTGGCTGTCCCGAGTTGGGTGAAGGCACAGGGAATTTTCATGTACGATGCTTGACGATACAGCTCGTAAACGTTGGCTGGGTAGGTTTAGTATCATTAGGTTAATAGGTTGTTATATATTATTATAGATTATTATAGAATATAATTGGTAATTTGTTTCTTTGACATGAGTTTTGTAATGAAACAGACGCAGCTAAAGATATTGATATTGGCTTAGACTCCAAGATTGGCCATGTATACCAAGTCACATACGTATCACATTGCGTTGACGTACTACATGACGTATATAGTATGATATACCCTTTGGTTATTTAACATAGCCATGGAAAGATCCATCATTTTAAATAGGTAAACCATCTATAAATGGTCCATTTTCCATGGCTATGTTAGATAACCAGATGGTATATATAGTATCAATACCATTTCATATCATTTCACGTGATTTCTTTCTGGAGACTTACAGGAGGTGCCTTCACATTTCAGAACTGGATATCTGCGTCAGATCATTGATATGATAATTGGTGATTTGGTGCCACATGCAATGACATGATTATGGATGGGAAGTATCATTAGAAAGCTTGAAATTATTGATTTCACATCACCCATAGGAAAGAATGTATATGTTATGGTAGTTATGGTATATATATGTATATGACATGTTCTATCATTTTCCATCATTTTTTAATCATGTTCTTCTCAAATACCCTCTGGTAAACTAACATAACTATGGAAAATCACCATTTTCAATGGGTAAATCCACTATTTCTATGGGTCATGTTCAATAGCTATGTTAAATTACCAGAGGGTATCACAAACATCAAATCCGGGCAAAACTGCTCCAAGTGCTCCCCTCTCGAGGCGCGTGCTATGTCGCTGTCCCTGCCACGGCCGGCCACGGCGGTGGTGGCTGCGCCCCTGACGGAGGTCGACCATCGAAAAACAATGGAATCTCCGGTGATTTTTGTTTTTTTTTTGAGTAAGTTTTGGAGACATATTTAGGAGATGTTCGGATATTGATATGCAAAACTCTACAAGATTCACAACATTTTCCATATGTGATGACTTTTTACTATATTTCGAATTAGGGTTAGGGAACTGTGATTTTATGCCAAGTTGGTGATAATTATTTGATACGACAGGTACGTGCTGTAATGAAATGTGATTTGTGTATAAATAATTATACATCCACAGTACAACGTTAGCACAACTGGAGCTCATAACGAGAGAAGACACACGCAATTTTTGTAGGTCAACTAGGTTAACCTTGGCTGGTTTAAAGGGTACCCCCTGGTAATTTAACATAACTATGGAAAATCACCATTTTTAATGGGAAAACTCACTATAAATGGCCATTTTCAATAGCTATGTTAAATTACCAGAGGGTAGTCATATCGCCATGTTTCCTGCTGATATTTCCCAACATCTCCCATGCCTAGGGACCTGGCGTTTTGCAGGTTGCAGCGCGACCTCTGCCAGCCCATGATGCTCATGGTACCCAAGGGCCTCGCTGGTGGCTGCGCTGCAACGAGCGGCTGTACCAACAAGAAACAGGGGGTTCCTGGATAAGCCATGATAAACCTTGGATGGGTTCGTAAAACCAACCAACGTTTCAGTAAGGGGCCCTTCCTGTATGGTTTTTATTCAATTACTATAAAACAAGTGAGTATTATACTGTCCATTCTGGTGAATAGTTAGCTTCTTGGTGCATGGTTGACAAATGGCTTGATTTTTTTTGCCAAATAAACTTGGCTGGCAAAGCCACTGGATGCCCAGCTGAATCACGCTGAACCACTTGTTTTTGCTGGTTGAATCATATCCATGTGTTGGTTGAATTCACTTGATTGGTTTTGTAAAGAGTTCCAATTTGTTGATCAAATCTAATTTCATATTGGTAAACTCCATTTATTTAAAAGACATGTTTTTTTTGATGATGTTTGTTTCGAATTTTTCCACTGAACCAACGCCACACCCAGCATTGAAGCTTAGGCACCGTCCCACTGCGGCTTCCGTAGGGGTCGCGGTGCTTGTGCGGCTGCCCGGGTACGAGGGTGATAATGTTTGGTGTGTGGGAAAATGTTATAAAAACGCTACTTCAATATTCCCCGTCAAACAACTGGGGTTGTGGATTACCTGGGTTAACTTGATTGGGGTCCAGTACATCAACAATTGGAAAGTTTTAACCGCCATGCTTTTTTAGCTCCGGCTTGGTTGGGGTGCGATTTTCCCCTTAACCAATGAGTACCAATTTTTGGGCATGGCAATTCGCCATGAGCACCTGCAAAAATCAGGTTATGACTGGGACTGCCACTTGAAACTCCACCATTAGACATTTGGGGATAGCTCAAGACGAAATGATCAGCAATTATCAAAGATAAAGACCAGGAGAGCCTTTGTGAAATCACATTTTTTCATTGATTAAATCACATTTTTTGTTGGTTGAATCACCATGGTTGTTGCGAACTTCAACATATCCTTAAATCATCTTAAATCCCAAAAGTGTTGCCGTTTAAATGATCTCAAATTAACACATAACAATCTAACGCTTCAATGTGCCACCTTGGGGAGAGCTGTTACCTTTAGGACCCAGAGGCCTAGTGTGTTTCACGGGATCGCTGAATCCCACAGAACAAGAAATCATGTTTTGTTCCAGTCCTATACATTATAT